ATGAAACACAATTTCAGTTCCTTAGCAAAACCAGTATGCTCTAGCTTGGAGATGAGACAGAGACTCTTTTCTCCCCTACATCAAAACTAAAAGGCATCCCACTTACAGATACTTCAGTATCCAAGCTTCTTCTAGAGAAGAATGAGGGAGGCGGGAATAAATCTTTGGCTCTTCATTTGGCACATTTCCATGCTTTCAACATGCACATTGTTGCATAAACTCAAAAAGCTCTCTCAGGCACGTTTCTGTCAGCCACTCCTTCGAAACCACATCTCTGATAATCTGCTTGCTTAAATGTATATAGCTGTAGGACGGACCAGTCATGATCCTGATGACATTCCAAAGTCCCAGACTAACAAATTAGGGCATCGCAGGTTCTTTCACTTTGCTCTGGACAACAAGGGAGAAGAACAGGTACACACTCATAGCATGAGCAGAAGTGCAATACACCAAAACTGGGAAGAAACTGAAGTGGTTTGAAAGTCACTACTGCATTGGCCTTCTGACTCATCAGACATTAACAAAGACATTCTTGGATCCTGTATCCTATCTGGCCATCAGCAAAGTCACCATTCATGGTCTTCCAAGAGTTATATACTTCCAATTGCCTCCAGCATACCTTGAAGCCCTTTCCCCACTAGATTTATTCCATGTTTGGAATTCCCCCTGCACTAAATTAAAATGCAACATTCTTCCTTAAGGCATTCTTGGGAACTTTTTTGTAGTCAGACGCTCCACACAACCCCCCCCCCCCCCCGTGCTATAACTATTCTCCAGCATAGTTGGTAGAGCATTTGATCCAATTTATAACACCTGCCTATAAAGACACTGATAGTCCTCTCCAGAAACAACTTTTAGCATTGCAAAGTACTGCAGACACTCTCCATGAATAATGCAGAAACTACATAGGCTTCAGAAAAGACTCAAGATAGTGCCCCTTCTGTGCATTCTCATGCTCTATATAGAGAGCAGAGTACTACTACTCTCTTGCTCAGGAGACAGCTTGTCTTTCCTTGATGTTAGGCTGTATCATGGGGACAGAGAGAAAGGAATAAAAAGCAACAGAAATGCATGGCAGTACAAAAGGGCTAATTTGCACACTCAGTTCACCACTTTTTTTTCCTCCATTATGCACCTTGGATCCTTCAAGTTGAAGGAAGGAGCAAACTGCCTATATTCCCACAAGAGAAAGAAAAGCTCTCCCCTGCAGCTAATAAGGTAAGTGCTTGGGCATTACAATCTGAGGTTATGCTAGGTGGATGCCTTTCCTAGCAACTGCAAACACTCTTCTAACTCCAAGCTTCATGTCAGAATCACCAAATCCTTGAGGAACAACTCACTAATTTGTTAATAAAATAACCCTCAGCATCCCATTTATCATTGTCTTTCTGACTAATACTGGATCATGAGTCATCACCCAACAAAATTAGCTATTGCATATAGGTACTAATAATTATAACATCTGAAATTTTAAGCAGGTATGTGATGCCATTGAAGTCTCACCATTACTGGTCTCCAGAGCTCTGACAATCAAATGGCGCTTTCAGACTGCCACACAAAACTCTATGGGGTAGTTGCTGGTGAAGGTTCCTGGCAAGTAATTTATCTTCACTACAATGCTGTGGCAAAACCAGAATCTACAAACAAGAGACTTTATTACTGCCTTTTCATTCATATACTACCATCTGCTAATGCCCAGGATATTCGACAAAAGCTGGCATCAAAGGAATTATTCCATGTTTAACTCTGTTTAGGTCCAGAATTGCCATTGCTTGAAAAGAAAAAGAAGGAAAGGTGTTGAGAAAGTGAGAAATCAGGGACAAGAAAAATCTGATCATTAAGTTACTGGTTTAGTGTGCTTGGGCCTGGATCTCAAGTGTCATTTGTCTCAGGCAAGCATATTTGTCATTCAGTTTCACTCTCAGCCTTTGTCCTATTGGAAACTCTCAGCCTTTTTCCTACTGAAGCTCCTCTACCTTAGACAGTACCCACACTACTCATTTGGCAAGTCAGACAACACAGTCAGAAATGGCCTACTGCCCTTCTGGCACAGCTGCCTTCTCTGCATCATGGAAAAGCCATTCTGGGCCCAAAGCTTACTTTTTCTAGCAGCACTGAATCATCTCCATATAAAAAAAAAAAAAAAAGAGTTGAAGTTCTTTTTAAGCAGCTCCACATTTGCTGTGGGTTCTGTCACTTTTCTTCCAAAGTCACAGCCAATCAATAAAGTTGCCAGAAAAACTGAAGCCTTCTCTGGAAGGCCAGCAGCAGCTCAGCAGTTGAAGGTGTAGGTGGGGATCACTGTCATTTTTCTTGCTCTGTGCCTGCTTATTATGTAAGGGCACATTTTGTTCTGTTGGGGCTACAAAACTCTCCACTGACACACCAGTTACTAAAGACTCAGAGTGCTACTCTTCCCACGACTGTCATGGGAACGTGTGCTTCATGTCACCCAGAGCTCCAAAGAAGCTGCCACACATAGACTCTTCATCCAAAAAGCCACCACAGTAACTTAATAGCTGTGAAAAAGCTACAGATGTCATACAGAAGGATTTCTTTGCTTAAACATACTGAAGTGAGTCCACACTTAGTGCCCTGACAGATAGACTTAACTACACAACCATTTAACACCCATACTGAGGGGGGAAAAAGGGTATTCCCCAGCTTCCCAATGCTATTCTGACTACCTGCCAACAACTCCACCCAACGTGCATGACAGGACAGCTAGTAGTACACAGCACCACTGGAAATACCCTTGGGACAATGCACATGCGGTTGGTTGAGTAACACCACATTCTCACAGCACCTTATATGCAGAGAGATGGAGAGGCAATTCCCACTACATCTTCTGTAAACCACAAGCAGACAGAACCTAACTATCCACTTATTATTTATGCCACTTTGCTTCTTTCTGGACAAGCATTACCCTTACTATTTATTACACATATTGCAGTAATGCCCAACAACTCTTTCTAAATGAAGCTGGCACTTAGTTCTATCAGCACAAGTTAATGACATTCATTACAGCTTACCTTCCAGTCTGCATGCATAGCTCTGATCTGCACGTCCTTCCACAACGTATGCCACAAAGGAGCAAGTTGAGTACCCATAACTTTCCTGTCTGAGCCTGTATTTCATGGTATGTTTAAGTTAATTCTACCTCTAGGTCAGCCCAAATCTGCTGGCACTAACACAAAAGAGTGAAGTCTTTGACCTGTTATAGAATCAGCTAAATGCACCACTCAAATATGCTAGCTCTAACAGTATTACAGTTTTAATTTTTTCCCAAGGTTTCCTACACGTTAAGCAGGCAAGTGCATACACTAACAGCTACAACCCTTGAAGAAAACAGGTTGCTCTTCATTGATCTAAAAAATTAGTAACTCTAAGACCATCAGCTGCTGGCAACAGGATGGCTACGTTTAGCCACACCACTTCCCTGCCTGTCTTTATTAAATATTAAGGTGGACTTCAGCTGTAAATACCAAGGAAAGGACTTAAGTATTCTGACAGCTAATTTCCTCTGTTTATTAAAAGACAACCATCTTCAGACAATTTATTTTTCTTCTTTTAAAATAATAATAAAAAAAACCTCTCTGTGCTAGAGATACAATATGCTTAACAGTAACTTTTCTGATTTCTCTCCTATTCAGTCCTTTGGTAAAAGTAAGTATCAGCTGCTGCTTGAATAATATTTCACCTGTGGTTTGACTATAGGGAAAAAAAAAAAGTCTTAATACATTATTTATTAAGGATCATATTATGAAGCTTCCTGTATGTCTCCACAGGAAAATAAATTTTAAGGACAATACTTAGGAAATCTACAAAAGGAAAAAGATTAAATATATTTGAGAAATCTGTATGAATGATAAAACTGTATATTCCACACACACACACACACACACTCCCCTCTCTCTCTGGCTGGCCTGCAGTGTTTTAGTGATTCCTCTACTTGCAGTTTCTTAAAAAAAATATTTTAAGAATTGTTAAGAATAAAAAAACCCAGCACCACCACAACCACCACCACCCACAATACAAAACAAGGAAAACAAGATGAACTAAGATTTGACTTCCAACTTAAGTAGCTTTCCTCTATTTCTGCTGACATTTCTACCTATCACTTCTTTCTCTGCTAAAAAAAAAGTTTAACTAGATTTTTAAAGGCAGCAATAACACAACTACATGACCAACACGTTGTAATAAAGCCAATACCTGTTTATGGTCTCAGCAAGATTTTGTGAATGCTCCTTCCCTGGCAGTATTACAGGCCAGGCTGGACAGAGCCTTGGGTGACATGGTCTGGTATTAGGCATCCCTGCCCATGGCATGGGGGTTGGAACTAGATGGTCCTTTCCAACCCTAACCATTCTGTGATTTTATATTCAGCTGGCATGCAAACGTAACTTAAATACTAAAACCAATGGAGTCTAATTAGAAAAATGACCTTTACGTAGATAACCAGCTTGTAGAGCAGCTGGGTGCTGGGAAAGATTCCTTAGAAGAAAACACTGGCAGCTGAAACTTCCTAGAAAGCATAGGAGCCTTTAGCTTCTCAGAGTTCAGTGCACCCGAGAAAATGGGCTAGTAAAGGGGACAAGCCTAGGATGAGAACAAACAAACACAGGGCTTACTAACCCAACTGACTTATCTTTGCTCCTCCATCTCAGATCTTTGTCAGGTTGTATAGCTAAAGGTGGTGCTGTGAAGATAGATTCCAACCCTAGCACCAAGCAATTTGTCTTCAAAGATCAGGCTGGCATCCTGACACTATAGAATCACAACCACCTGATTTTTGACAGCTTTTCAACATTGAAAGTACATAAAAAAGTACAATGTGACTCCTTCAGAAGAAAGGAGATTGTTTTTCCCATTCAAGAAGTTATATTCTATCCATTTGTATCATTTTCTACCCATCTACAAAAATACCCATAAAGAGCAAAGGAAGAAACTGATGAGGACACAAGCTCAACAAGACACAAGAAGAGAAAGACCATCCTTACATGCTCTCACAGAACTTCGTAAGAGTGCTGGGCTTTTCCTGGTTGCGTCTTTGTCGAAACCAACGTTGAATGCTGCGTACATCCCAGTCCAGCTGCTTGGAGAGGCCCTCCAGCCTCTTCTCATCTGGATGCTACAGAACAGAGAAGGATAAACATTATGTCTTTACCCAACTGACGTGAACCACTGTAATTGCCCCTTGATGTCTTACAAGCTGCCTGTCAGACACATGGATACATAGAAATAAAATTACTTTCACAGAAATTTCTGCTTACAGATCCACACCAAAATAACTTTACAGTGACTATTATTAATCTAGAAGGACATATGCTATAATATTGCACGCAGGTTATTACAATTAAGAACCTTAAGGAGGATAATGGCACGAAATCTTGCTTGAAACTAGGAAAATAATGAGAAGTAGGGGTTGAATGCCATGAATTTCTCAGACAGTGGGGCTTTGAAACATCACCCTACCCCGCCGCAGGACACACGCTACGGCCTGCATCCCCCTGAATCAGGATCTTTGTCCTACAGACTATTGCAGTAATGAAGATTATTTGACAGACATGGAAAGAAAATATATTCCATGTTTGTACATGTTCATGTTACAAAAATGAGGTCATTAAACAAAGTAGCAACTTCAAAAGGAAAATCACCTTGACAACAGGGAGAAAATATTTTTTTTCCTGTAAAATTTGCTACACACAATTATTCTCCAAAGCGGCAAATGTGGAACTCTCATTTCGTTAGAGTGGCTCTAAAACAGTGCAGATGTAAGGCAAAAGGCTATAGTTTGAGTAGTATACAGAGAGGAGCAGTACAGGCCACACTTCCAATCACTCAGCAATTCTACACATACAGTACTGCATGAGGACTATTTATCTATTTTCTCCTGATCACATTATTTTTTTAAGGAAACAGAAGAAGCTTTTGGACAACCTCTTTGCTGGAGTTTCAGCTTTATTTCTGCAAGCCAGTTACATACATTCAATGAGATACAAGAGCTTCCATTATAAAGACTTTTTTTAATGTCTCAAGAGATAAAACAGCAAAGCTTTTGTCAGGCTGAAGATTCATCTATCGGCTTCCAGGAAAAGACAGGAAGGAAAGGAAATGGAAGGGAAGGGATGAGAGAAGGGTAAAATATTTGCCATCCATCTCAGAAAAAAAAAGAAAAAGGTTTTCTCATCAACCCAAAGTAGCCACTATTTTATCAATGGAAGGTTAAGAAAAACCATTCTTTGTAACTAGAAAAATCTAGTCAGAGTTAGACTAGAGAGAACTGTTGAACGTGACTCAAAAAAAAAAAAAAGACAACTAGGTAAATCAGACGGTTTCCTTGAGAGCAGCTACCAAACAGCCCTACCAAAACCTCACAGGAAAGCAGATACCTCCTTTGTGAGTGCTTTGCACTTGTCTCCATGCACTGGGTGCTGGGAACTGTGTGCCAACTCCTAACATGACTCTCAGACTTTCGCTAGATCACACACCCAGGCCCTGTGTTGGACTAGCAGATTCTGTGAGGGAAAATAAATTTAAATAAATAAATAAATCCCATTTGTTCTTCCTTTAGCTGATTCTGGGCCAGAGCATATGTGCTGCAGCTTTTAGAAACAAGGTATGCGTGATTCCCTCCCTGAAAACAGGACACAAACCACAAGTGCCACAGGGATCTCAGAATAGGGTAGGAGACACGAGCAAGACAGATCCACAGCATATTTCACTGTTCCTGACACTGAACCTATGTTTGCCTATGACTTTAACACTCTCTGAAGTTTAGGCTGATGCCTTTGCTGTGGTGTGCTCAGTTGTAGCCTGAAGCCAATGTGGCACTGGGAAGTTCCTGCAGAACTTCATCTTTCTGGCCTCCACAGGCCTTCCCGCTACAAAATGACCACTGACCACTGGGGTTTTCACTGTTCCTACTGATCACTGGGTCTTCAGGACATCTCATTACTGTTCATTGCTATGGAAAAGCTCAGGATGCTGCAGAAGCATGGACAGACTTTCAGTTGAGATCTCATACAGTGAGAGTTGCAGAGACAGAGATAGCAGCAGCGGGCAAACACTTGTTCTGTGCAAAAAAGTCTGCAAGCTTCAAAATATCATTTTTTCAGGCTCCCCCCACTTTTCTACCACCCCATCTCTCCAAATTTCAAAGGACATTCAGCATAACATAAACAGCTAGGACACCAGCAAGCCACCAGCATCCTATGCTCAGGCAGCTTCCCTAAAAGGAATAACTTTGAAACTTCATGGAAAACAGTAATTTAAATCTTACTGGCTCACAATTCTCTTTCTTTTACTTAAGGGAGAAAAAAAAAAAAAAACCAGAAAAAAACCCAAAACAAACAAAAAAAACCCAAACCAGCGAAAAAAAAAAAACACCCGAAAAACCAACACCCCAAAACCAACCAAAACCAAAACCATACAAAACCATCGAAAAACCCAGAATGATATTTTCTTTTTTTCATTTTTAAAAGATAAACAGCAAAACAAAGTAGGTGGCCATATGGCACCTACATAGTATAACAACTCTCTTTTGTTTAAAAGCTTACAGGAAACATCATGAAGGGTTGCACAACTGCTCCAACTGGCATACAATAACAACCTTGACATTTCCATGGTTGGATTTCAGCTGTAAAAATGCAGCAGTACATTTAGCAGTTAGCTTTGTTTTATTCAGCTATGGTTTACAGTGCTGTATCCCATTTTATAAGGTTAATATTACAATTAAATACTCTACCTTTGTAATAGCTGTGAAAACTTTTTCCAGAATAGCATTAGGTTGAGCTTTCTGTGGTCCGTTGGCTTGGACTTTAAGGCCTAAGGCACATGGTTTAGCAATGAACCTGTGAAAAACAGAAGAATGGAAAAAGGAAATAAGCTAAATCCTTCAGTTATTTACTTCATTACTGTTATCAATCAATGATGCACGGTAAACATGCAATTATAACCCTGCCAACAAAAACAATACTTAGCCTTACAGCTCAAAAGTAGGCTCATAGACAAAATTTCATCGCAAAGTAACATCACTTTGAAGGATGAAAGAAACTCTGCGGAGCACATGAAACACAGGATTTTCTTTCATGTTGTAAAAGAGAAAAGATGGAACAAAAGCATGAGACAAATGCCTCCTAGAGAAGCATCAACTAATCAAAAGAGCAGGGCAGCTTGCAGAGATGAAGAGCACGTAATATTCTCCCTACAGAGCCTTTTTCATAAATGGGTTTCCAGAGTAGCTACTACCTCGGGACTCCTTTTGCACAGTGGAAATTCAAACCAAGTCCTTAAAGGCAGTAAGCACTTAAGCTTCCCAGTCAATACAATGTTCTAAACTATAAAGTTTAAACAGTGTTGAGCCATGCCTCAAAGACTTTGCTCTTCCTCCAAACTCTTCTGCTAAAATATGAAGCTGACACAGATTCAAACACTCATCCATAAATTCATCCAGTTTATAAACTGGGTGTCTCTGGTACATTTTAGAGATGAATTGCATAGCTTACATTACAGACACTCAAAGACCATTCCAGTTCCATGTTTATCCAGCTGAATGACCACAGGTTCTTAAAATCATGGAATTCTTATCCACATGAAAGCCCCATTTTAAGCACTGTTTTAAGCTACAACTGCTGTTTCTGCTATGTTTAAGACAGCACACTTGATTAAAGAGAATTAAGTCCTAAGCAATGTCACAGTGGTTACAGCAAAAGCATCTGGTAAAGAAAAATGGATGATGCCAGACTACCTTGTTTGTTCCAAGGAAGAATTCTTGGTACGTTGATACTATTCCCACATGAAAGCCAGTTCTAAAGCCTGAGATAATTTTTGGTGACTATATACGAGGTGGGTGGGAAGTCATATATCCAGACACATGCAGTGTATCAGTAAACTCATTATTTGATCCTCGTATGTTACAAGACGAAAAAAACAAAACAACTTGTTACTTGTTTGTTCTCATAGCATCAACCGAACCAATGGCACTGCACAAGGTATAAATTCCCTGCTTTAGGGTTAAGAGCTTTGGCGATACCAGTTTCACTGAGGAATGTGAGAAGAAAGCAGTCCAGTTTTCTGCTCAAGAAACAGAAGCATATAAGCTCTGTACATTTTATATGTACATACACTGTCATCTAGCCACACTGGAAATTTGTGTGTATGAGGTGACAAAAGAAGCAAGAATTGTGTTGCCTGGTTCAACACAGACATAACCATACTGGCCATTGCTGTTAGGTGATAACCAAAAGGTAGCTGAAGAAGCTAAGAAAATGCTTGTGGAGTTTGATTGCAGAAATTTAGTTTTTAATTCTAAGAAGTGGTAAAACACTTCTAGTCATGTAACAGAAGGGCTGAGATTCTTAGCATCTATGTCAATGCTTTGTACCAGAAAGCTGAAAAACACTCAAAAACTCCAGTCTTCACTACTGAAGAAATTAAATTTCCTGAAGAAAAAGCAACAGAGCCAAAGAGCAGAGCCTACGTCAGACATTAAAGGGGATGTCAACCAGTGTTTAAGTTAATTTTACAAAGCCTTATAGGAAACACTTAAAAGTAGAGACAGGGCAGAGGAGTGCTGTAGGTGGAACAAATAAAATAAGGACAACTTTATCAGCTTCATGCATTCAAGAAAGAACCCAAGCTCAGCCTTAACCACCACCAGCAAGATCAAGAAACATTCACTAAATAGACACAAAACAAAAATTGTTTCACATGGATTTTGTGAGCACTTGTGAAGTCAGTCTCCTCTGAAGTAAAACTTGATTTGGGAATTTTGTTTGTTTATAGGGTATGGGTTTTTTTGTTTCGTTGGTTGTGGGTTTGGGGGTTTTCTGGGGTTTTGTGTGTGGAGGTTTTTGGTTTGGTTTTAAATGCCTGTATCTTTCAACTGCTGTTTTGTTCTCCTTCTGTCAAGCAAAGGAATGAGAGAGCCATGCTACAGCTCCAAGAGAAAGGCAGTTCCCTAAACATGCCAATTTAAAAGAAAAGAAAAATAATTTAGTAAAATCAAAATCAGATTAAAAAGTCCACATTTGAAAACTTCCACAAGGAGCAATTCCAACAAGCTCCATGCTGAGCTGATCTTCATTTAAATCTAAGCAAATCAGCTAAGTTTCCTTAAATGCCATTCTTAAAATGACATGTGTCACTAATGAACAGCCTAGATAAATACAGGACAATGCACAGCATTTGCCTAGATTTTAAAAACAGAAGAGAATTGTTATATTGATATTATACTCATTACCTAAAACAAACACATTTTCTGCTTCTGGTATTTACTTAACAACAATATAATTTTTTTTTTCTTCCTTTGCTGCTTATGATTTTCACACGCACTGAAGGAATGGGCACATGTCCACAAGGACAGCAAAGCACAGTAAGTACATGTACAGGGAACGCAGCTGCAATACACAGGATGATCTTGGCCAGCTACGTTAGGGAGGAAAGGACAGGGAAAGCTTAAAAAAGCCCACAAAGGTCTGATATGCTTTTGTGATATGCTACTGATATGCTTTTGTGGTCCTTCTCCATATATGAAAAAAAAATAGAAAAAAAAAAAATTCCCTCAGGTGATTGTGATTGTAAATTCCTATTAGGACATTCAAGGGAAATAAAGCAATTTCAACAGAAACCTTTTATATGCCTGCAATACTGAGCAGGTCTGACCACCAACTCGGGTGTGCAAAAGCCAAATCCACATGACTGCCTTTGGTGGAACTGGTAAAATTTAAGAGATATTTTTTACTTTTCATACAAAAATTTAATAAATTCAAGCTATATTTTGCAATATAAAAATTGTTTTTCAAGGTTAAAATATAACTTTAAAATAGAATTCAATCAATAGGATCCCAAATGTCACACCAGGCATCATAAAAAAGCATAATTAACATAATTCTCACCAACAGTTTTCTATAATAATTTAAACAGATTCATAAGTAAACAAAGCAGAATTAATGCTTGATACATGTATAAACTACGAGCATTTTGCCAAATGTTGCACTTCTTAAAAGCACTATTCATTTTTTCCATTTCTGCTAATGCTGTGCAATTCAGTTCCCTAAGCAGTCTTACTGAAACCCATGGGACTATTTATTGCATAAGGTACTGCAATTAAGAGGGAATAACAATTGTGAAAGAGTAAAGAGAGCAAAATTGAGTACATTGCCAGCTTTTCTCTTTAAAACACGTAAATCTGAACAAAGCCACGCTAGTATTTATTTTTTTTCAGTGGATTCCAATACAGTTGGATTGAAAGCTGGTATTCAATTACACAGAAATTAATGACAAGCACTTTCTGCTGAACACAGCCCCATCTATTCTGGATCTAGAAATGAAAGACTAACATAAACAAGGGAATTAAACTCAGAATTCAAGAACCTTTTTACAGGCAGCTTCTTCATTCACAGCCTAAAGCCACATTTAAAAACAAAACCAACCCAAAAAACCCACAGCCGGCCAGTTCAGGCAATATAGGTTACTGCAGAGCATTGGAGTGGGAAGCACACTGTCTCTGCAGGCCCATAAATACTGCCCCCTCTTCCTGCAGACAAACATCTCTTGAGTGTTCCATGCCCCCTGAAGGCAGGTGCTAGTTTATATTCTGAATCTTGTCTGTTTTTTCTCAAATCCATTATTTACAACAGCGACAGCTTGACCTCACACTCCACCTCAAACTCAGAGGTCAGCTTCTCTTCTAAAAATGGGTCAAGAAACACTTTACAAAATGATCCCCCAACTCCCCTACAGCATTAAAAGAAGTACTATTTCACCAGAAGTATGCAAATTCGTTCATGGACAAGCACCATTTTGGGTTTCTCACTTGTCCTTTAACAAATGCCAACTAGACAAAGACAGTGGCTATTACAACACATGGCAGGCAGAAAAAGAATTAAAAACAAAAAAAAAAAGAAAACAAAAAAAACCAAAAACCAAACCCACAAAAGAAAATCAACAACCAAAAAAAAAAACCTAAACCATACCAAAACCCACCACCAGCACCATCACAACAACAAAAAGAAGGAAATTAAAAATTGCTGTGGTGGAGGAAGGTATTAAGTGATCACAGCAGGTGCTGTGTTGCATAGAGGGAGAGGAGGATACCCCATGGCCATCAACCCTGGCAAAAACAAAACCCCAAGCCTGCAAACTCTTCAGAAGCCATTCCCAACACCCCGCACTAAATGTCTAATTCCTCACATCCCTAAAATTATAGCTTAAAAATATGCTGGCTCTATTTCCTGGGAACTCCACACCCTGTGAAAGTTTCTCTTTAGAAATATGAATAGGTCAGATCTCCCATAAGCACAAACCATCGTGGACACATAAATGCAGTATCACTGATAAAATAGCCTTTAATAAAAGAGCACAGAAAATGCCCCCTCTAACTCACAGAGCACTTTCTGTTCTCCTTTAATGGCTATTTGAACCTTACTAATTAATTACCATGTAACCTTTTACTTTACTGCTTTTCATCTTGACAAACTACATAATTTTAATCCTGGCATTAGCTAGAAATGGTAGTGTTGACCCTCAATAATACTTGGAGGCTGATGTTTATTAGCACTAGCAAATTCTGTGTTAAACAAATATTTTTTCAAAGTATCGCATTAAGGAGGAAGAGAATCTTTGTATCTTTTTAATTTTGGTCAGAAACTAATACATAGCAACTCCTTAGTCATCTGGGGCACTGGAAATATGGGCACTCTTATGTCACACGAATGTGGCATTTCCATACCAGCAAGTCATCTTCCATTTCTGGGCTGACCACAGCGAATGCCCTTTAGCAAATCCATGCCTGAGTTTCCCAGGAGCTCTGCAGATGCTCAAACACCACAGAGCCCACTACAGGTAAATA